TATTTCATATTGAATGTTTTAGACAAATAAATACCGGTTATAACAGTGAACCGTGCGCGCATAAATTCTGCGCAGTCGCCATTTTTTGGAATATCACCCGTCGTCAAGCAATGTTGACCGTTGCTACGCTGGAAGGCGTGGCTTCATTATTAGAGGGTAACAGTGTTTTTAACAAATGTTTTTCGGCCAATCAAATTCAGCTAATATACATGAAAGTATAATATTAGCTGCTAACAACTTTATTGAGGTGACCTACCAAGAGATTAATAGTTACTGCTAGCGTTCGCGAGCAATCTCTCACCAGAAGGCGTATTACGTTTCGCTAAAGTATAAGTGGAACGATAATCATGGGTAGAGATTGGCACTCTAGCGCTAGCAACTACTTTAGTGCATATTTCAGGAGTACGCATGCTAAGCTTCATGGTCGGGCATTCTGGGAAAATTTCAAGGTCTAGCATTCTGTGTATAGATAGATTGTACGTTAACTATTTCATTGTGAATTAAATAACGTTGCCATGGCCTTTTTAGGTCACCTGAGTAAACTTAGGTGATCTATTGCTATCCGTTTCCGTCTGTCTTCGTGCGGTGTGCGTCGTGTGTTAACATTTGAACATTTTCAGCTTTTTCTCTGCAACCGCTCAACCAATTACAACCAAATTTGGCACAAAGCATATACGGGTAAAGGGAAACAAAAAACGTTAATTTCATGGTCCCTGCCCCCTGGGGCCTGAGGGATGGGGCCAAAAGCACTAAAATTAATGCAATCTTTAAAAATCTTCTTTACTCCTGGACATCAAGCAGTCAAACTGTTGACATGATTATAATGAGCATCGAGTCCTCTACCAAACTTGTGAAATTTATGGCCCCAGGGTCAGGGGTTCTAGTGCTAGGGCGGGACTATATAGATTATATAGTGAAAATGCATTATTTCTTTGAAAATCTTCTTCTCTACTCATGGGTATTAAATAAGCTAACTAAGTACATAGTTATGATGAGCAAGAGTGCCTCTCCGAAAATTGTGAATTTTATGGCCCCAGGGTCAGGGGTTCTGGTGTCAGGGCGGGGCTTTATTGATTATATAGTGAAAATGAATTAATTCTTTGAAAACGTTCTCCTCTGCTCCTGGGTATTAAATTAACTAACCAAGCACATAGTTATGATGAGTAAGAGTGCCTCTTACAAAATTATGAATTTTATGGCCCGAAGGTCAGGGGTTCTGGTGTTAGGGTGGGGCTCTATTAATTATATAGTGAAAATCCATTAATTCTTTGATAATCTTCTCTGCTCCTGGGTATTAAATAAACTAACTAAGTACATAGTTATGATGGATAAAAGTGCCTCTTCCATAATTGTGAATTTCATGGCCCCTGTTTCAGGGGTTTTGCCATTTGGTGTAGGGTAGGGTGCTCTTTAGATTATATGGTGAAAATACATTAATTTTTTGAAAATCTTTTAATTTGTTTCTGCGTATTATGCCAATGATCCAAGTATATATATATTTATGATGAAGAAAGGTGCATCTAGCAAAGTGGTTAAATTTTTGCCCCCTGGGTCAGGGGTATGGGGGGGGGGGGTTACATAGTCTGAAAATAAATTAATGCTTTGATATCTGCTCTTTGGTATTAATCAACCATTTATGATGAAATAAAACTCATGATAAAAGTTCCAAAATTTTTGTCCCAGGGTCAGTGGTTCCTTTGCGGTGGGGTGCACAACTGGTTATAAAGTGAAAGTGCATTTTCTCTTTGTTACTCTGACGTACCTCTTGGTTTTAAGTAGCTAGAGTAAGCATGCTAAGTGTATAATTATGATAAGCAATGGTGTCTCTTTCAAAGTTGTGAATTTCATGGCCTCTGGTTTAAAACACGAACAAATTCAATTGTTGGAGAGTTGTTACATGATACTCAGGTGACCTATAAGGCCCGTGGTCCTCTTGTTTAAACAAAACAGACCACCTTAAAACCAAATCAACAAGCTCGTTTGCAAAATTAACAGACTCCGAGGCAAAACCAACGATCACCGATGCAAAATCAACAATTATTCGCTGAATTGACGCTAGATGGCGTGTAAAAAACAGGCATTACCTGAATTAACGTTAGATGGCGCGCAAGTTTTTCTGTCATATTTGTGTACTTTCATAGTCCTGAACGTAAATCCCGCAAAATTGTGTACATGCATCTAATTGGCAGATTTAGGAATATATTATAAAATATATTATCGGTAATGGAATCGTATATCGAAATATATAATAGCTGGGGGATTCCATACTCTGTGCACTCATTTTTTCTCTCGGATTGACCCTGTGCTTACATTTTATGGAATGAAGTGAGTAATTTATTGTATAAGAAAAGAAATTAAGGCAAGATGTACACTGTATGTTACCCAGATCTTTTTTTTTGCTCAAAAATAAGGTGACGGAACGTAGGACAGCGATTAATCCAGGTTTTTTTTAAAGGGGAGGGGGTACTGCTTTTCTAAGAAATTAAGAAAACCATTAGGGGGCCTTGGAGCCCAGAGCATGCAGGAGGCGTGGGGGTGACTGAAATTGAATTTGAGCAATCTTATGGCCATTTAGAGTGCCTAAATTGCATATGAAACCATTATCCGTGTCGGTAAAAATGCACAAGGTAACCACGCATACCTTGACAAGATGCCACCACATATTGTACAGGGGTACAACTTAGTCATATCCTTGTATTCCTACACTGTAAGTTTCTTTACGGTTTCAACGATTTATTTGCTCATAAGCCACTCACCAATTGGATTTGGCGCAAAATAGTTCATGCATGAATTTATCATTTATCAAACATAAGTATTTTCAGAATGTAATTTTGTATTTTTGCATAATGTAATTTATATATATACAGGCGTGGAATTTTTCCAGAAGGGGTGGGGGTCCACCCTAATAAAAAAAAATCCAGGCCAGAAATTGCTTGACATGCAAAAAACAAACAAAGGTAAACGCCTTTTCCAAACCTGAAAAACCGGGCGCGGGGGGGGGGGGGGGCTAGTTTATTTGATACCCTGGAGCAGAGAAAAAGATTTTCAAATAAAAAATGTATTTTCACTACATAATCAATAGGGCCCCGTCCTAGACCCAAGAACACCTGACCCTGGGGCTATGAAATTTACAATTTTGGATGAATCAGCATTATTTGATATAACTATATACTTGGTTAGTTTATTTAATGCCCAGGAGCATAGAAGAAGATTTTGAAAGAAATTATGCATTTACTATATAATCTATATTTTTTTTAGCCTTTCCCTAGCACTAAAACCCCTGACCCCAGGACCATGAATTTCACAATTTTGATAGAGGTCTCATTGCTAATTATAATCATGGCAACAGTTTCACTGCTAGATGTTCAAGAGTAAAGAAAAAGCTTTTTTAAAGATTTTAAATTATTTTTAATTTTAATTCTAGTGTTCTTGTCCCCACCCCTCAGGCCCCTGTAGAGCAGGGACCATGAAATTCACGATTTGTTTCCCTTCACCCAGACATGCTTTATGCCAAAATTGGTTGAAATTGGTTGAGCGGTTGCAGAGAAGAAGTTGAAAATGTTTAAATGTTAATGCACGACGACGGACGAAAACACATAGCAATAGGTCACGTGAGTTTACACAGGTGTATGGCACTCCAAATTCACAAAAATGAGCTAAACATAGTTTCATAGTCGGAAAACTCGGTTTATCGACTGTAAACCATAGTTAACAAACAGTGAACTATAGTTAACAATTCGTTAACTATAGTTTTCATCTGTAAAACTGTAAAACTATATTTAAAGGTTAGTTTACGGATGTTCATCTAAGTTTTTCTGTCTGTAATAAAACGTTGACAATAGATTTTGTTGATAAACATAGAATCACGTCTGTAAACTATAATTTAAAAACGTGAACTATAGTTAAGACTTGTTAATCGTAGTTTCACAAATCTTGAAACTATAATTATCAGACCGTTAACTATAGATAAGAGTTGTAAATCATAGTTTACAAATCGTGAAACTGTTTTTATCAGGTAATATATGTTTTGGAATTGCAAATAATTGTTTTCGGTGTTAAGAAAAGTTTACGGTTCTGAAACATAGATTATCGCTTTAACTATGATTTACACCTTCGGCGTTTATGCAAATTATCACACAAGCCAATCCATTGATCACTTCATGAATTCGAAAAATAAGACAGTTATTCCTTAAAGAAACTATGTTTAGTTCATTTTTGTGAATTTGGCGTACCATACAAGTGACCTAAAAAGTAAAAATAATGATGAAAAAAAAATTATCAAATTCAAGATTTATTAAAAAACAGAGCTTATATAGGAATTCACAAGAAAACAAGATACGAGGGCCGTTCAAAAATTAACTGTGCTATTATACGTCATATAGTTATAAAATTTCACAGAAATATGTTTCTTAAAGATTCCAATAAATTTGGGCAAAATTTCTGTATTTTAAAAAAATTCTACTAAAATTATCAGTATGTTGATATCGTTGATGGAGAGGTACGGCGCACGACAAAAAAATTGAAGCAAAAGCATGCGGATTCAAAAAATTATCTCATTGATTTTCTAAAATTCGCGATATTTTTCAACAATTTTCTCAAATGTACCTTTAAATAGTTCTATTATTATGTATTTAGATTTCGGACGTAATATTTGAAGTACTAACAGAAATATAGTGATTTTTCTCTGATGCGATTCCCGTGAAAAGGACTGTGAAAATGACGTCTCCTGAATTGACGGCGCACCACTTTTTTGTTAAAATATGTGTAATGCTCGAGATATCGGCAACATAGATCCAAAATATGCATAATAAAACATGTAGTAAACTAGGCTACTCGTGACATTCGCCCACAAATAGCAAATTGAAATTTTAGACAGTTAGACCTCTGTAAAAAGGCTATACAGGAGGACGGGAAGAAGATTATAGACGAAAAGTTCGGACTGTAAAGAACGTGATTGAGAGTCACCAATATCACACTATATCTCATAAGTAGTTTTTGGTTTTAAAACAAAAAAAGAAAAAAGAATATTCTTTACATGTTTAATAGATTTTAAGCTTGACAAGAAATGGTGTTTTGATGTTGAGTAGATAAGGTAACTCAAACTATACAGGTACTCAAGGGAAAATATTGAGAAGATGAAAGCTCAATCACATATTTTTTATAATTCTTGTGACGTCGAAGATTTTGCTGCGCCGTGACTTAGTGGTATGTCCTGAAAAATCACTCAAAATTAATACCAATTTACAATATTTTGATATGAAATTTTGAAGACCATATAAGTAAAGATTCTTTTATATTATTTGTGAAATTTTGCCCGATTATGTCGTCAAAAATTTCTTCTGTGCGACAAGTCCGCGTAATTTTTGAACGGCCCTCGTATAATGATTGAATGAACATAGGATAATTACAGCGGCTTGATTTCCTTAAGGTAGGATTCTTCTCATATTTCTAATATTTAAAAATTAATGAAATTTTCAGAGAATCAAGAAGACAATATCAGTAAGTGATAGTATCAGTGAAATTTAATTTGACCGTTTTATATTAGAGGCAAAGTCAGGTCAAGGTCATTATCTTTTTCCTTGACATTAAGAATAAAAAAATACTGTTGCCAATTAATCATGTGATACCTACTTCTATTTCAAAAGTTTAAAGATTGTTCTGTTTGCATAAAAAGATATTACTACATCGGGTCTATAGCATGATATTACCAAATTTACATAAATAATTTAACTTTCTGGATATTGGCTGATCCGAATTTTCTCTGTTTTTCTTAATTTTTTAGGATATATTAGTTATTTTCATATGCTTCCTATATATAACTTTTTCTTATTTTCACATATAATAAAGTAATCTTATAAATGTACAAAATGATACAAAAACAAAATGTTTTGATCGTTTACTACGAGAGAAAAAATACTTTTTTATGTATTTTTGGCTCAAATCTGCACTTTGATAGGAAACGTTTAATAGCTAACAAAGTTCTAGTTTGTTTGGGAAATCATATTTATTTGATATATTTTGAAAGTTTAGTCCCTCATTATTAATTTAACTTACATTTGAAAATTTCTCCAAGTCTTCACTTGTGTAAAAATTATAACTAAATTCATTGTGCTATTATAATTTTGAGAGGCAGAAAAGAAGATATTTTCATACGCCACCATTCCGCCAAAAATATAGTCCCTGCTAGTTTTCAAACGCATTTTACCATTTCTATTTAAAGTTGTACAATTGTGATGAGGAAAGAAAAATATGGTCTTTTAAATTCCTTACACCTCAATATATAAGACATATAAGCAGATATACTTTTAAGTGTCGCTAAATGACCAGTACATAAATGGCAATAACGAAAGTCAGGCTAACCGCCAACCCGCCGGCTGTCACCATGGCCGTCACGGAGAAAAAAGCTGAAAAATAAAGAATCTCTTCTTAAATGTTTTTCGCTACCATAAAGTACAAGTATATGGGTGCATTATGCAATAAAGAGAGATAATTAAGAAGAAGATAACGAACAGCAATCGATGTAAAACAAGATATCCTTTAAGGTATTTCTCATTTAATAAAGTTGTTTCCAAAAATTTATAGGTCGCCATATTATTTAAGATGGGAGATATAAATAAACAAAAGAATATGCCAACATAAAAAAATCGTACATTTTTTGGTAAACAGTATCATAAATATTATGTTAAAAGAGGAACCCTTTTCTGAATATAACAATACCATTGCTGAAGCAGCCTATATGTCATTCTTATAAACGATAACTCATAAATCGGCACTTAGTTGGTCATTTTTCATACATGAGTTACCTGTCCTTAAAACACAGCATTGATGTAGTCAACTACAAATAATGAACTTTTTAATGATTTGATTTCACGTTCTCTGGGATATATCGAATTAACATACTAGTATGCATGTTTTCTTTAATAACAGTTTATTGATAAAACGCTGTCAATGAAATATATGGAAATAACAAACAATGAAAAATTGTAGCAGAGCAACCACGATCTCCGAATAAAATCAGAGGTGGGATCAGATACCATGGCGGAGTGAGCATCCCCTGCCGAACAGTCACACCCGCCGTATGCTTCTTGTAAAGTTCTGGAGAAAAACGGAAAAATCCATGGACAACTCAGTGGGTAAATAATGGCCATCAGTATTTAAAAAAAGTTAGCCAGCATTAATGGTCAATTGAATTTGCTGACAAGGTCATTGTATCGACCGTAGAAATGTCGAAATGATGACTTTAAACGAGACTGCTGGTCTTCTTCCTTCATCAATTTTTTGTCAATAATTTACCTCGTTTTAGAAATTGTTCATTCGTAGAATATATCATTCAATATCGAATCAAATGAAAGATATAAACTCTGTATGCAGGTGACAAAGGTATATTGCTGCATGAGTAAGGGAAGATGACGATTAAAAGTTAAAGTCATAACATTTTTTCCTAAAGCTTGATTGCAAGATAACCATTAACGCTTTTTTTTTCTAGTAAAATATCCCAATATGATACAGATGTGTCAGACTCTGTGGTATCTTTAATTTTAAACTCACTTGGATATATCCTGTCGACTTAAGAATGGAAATTAATTGACAATACGTTGTCGTTTACCTAAATGTTGTGTTGAAGGCCACAAAAAGAGTTTTCTTCTTTTCACGTAAAAGATTTTTAAAAAATTCCTCTTCATATGAATGCAAAAATAGGTTTGCTTATAACAATAATATCAGAATGTCGAGTTAAAGGGCACATAAAAGGATTTCTTTTTCACTTGAAAATTACGCCAGTCGATGGGCCAGATATATTTAATTTAATATATTTAATCAGGATTTAATTTTGGCATTATCAGCGAGGCTGTTGAGATCGCTAAAATTAAATATCGCTAAAAATTTGTAGCGTTTTATTTATGATTACTTCTTTTGTTAGCATTTGAAAATCGCTAAAATTACTTATCGCTAAAAACAAAATACATATTTTTAAGGACAAATCACTAAATTTGCGTTTCGCTAAAATTTCCACTAATACGGCATGTAAAGACGTTGACACTTTGTCAGAATGAAATATAAGGAGATAACGAACAGTATTCAAGATCAAAAGTCCATGAAACAATACAAAACAGGAGCAGAGCACACACACACATCCAAAACATCAGAGGTGGGATCAGGTGGATTAAATACATCAGATCCAATGATAAAATCGCGTATTAAAAGATTGAGGAGCAATATGAGAACCATCTATCATTCTGTATTCAATAATCCAGACGTGAAAAAAGAGCTAGATGGATTACATGATCAGTACATATACCTACTTGTTTGTCATAATATAAATTGTATTATAGAAGAACTTGGATTTAATTCTACAAGTGGTAATCGAACTTAGACTTATAGTACCCTTTCTAAAGAAGAAATTCTTCAAAATCATATGTCAGTTTTGAATATTTTTAATATCCCAAAGAACCAAAATGATTTTGAACTAACATATATATAATTATATATTGGATTCCATAACTTTGGAATCCTTACAAAGATACATTGCGGGTTCCAGTACATTTTCAGCCAAGCCTCTTTCTTTACTCCTCACTAAGATATTGACAGTAGTGAAAGTAAACCTTCAAGAGTACTGTGCAATAATATTATCAAGAAGTGGTGTCAATCAGATGTGGATACTCAAAAATTCCAAAGAACTTTTGGAAAATTTGAAATCGCAAGATTTTTAATAAAATCAACAGCTTGAACACTAACGACTTTTCAACTTGATACAAAACCATTCCCCCACGATAAAGTAAAGTCCAGGCTTTTGATATCATGGACAACTGCTTAAAAATGGAACTCGTAAATTTACTTACCTGGTCATTGGTCATTTTGAAAATTATTTTGTAAAAAAAAAAACGCATTCTGGTTGTACACACAAGTACTCTGAAGCTGACATCAAAAAGATGCTTAAGTTTCTGATTGACAATATCTATGTGGTTTTTGGATACCAGGTCTTCCAACAATCTATTGGAATTCCCATGGGTACCAATTGCGCTCTGTTATTAGCAGAACTATATTTTTTTTCATATAGGGCAAAGTTTGTGCAAAATCTTGTACGTTAAAAGAAGAAAACACTTGCTGTGACCTTCAACTCAAATTTAGATATATCGACGACGTACTGTCAATCAACAATGGTAATTTCCATTCGTATGTCGATATGATATATCCTGGTGAGCTTGAGATAAAAGATACCACAGAGTCTGACACATCTGTTTCATACTTGGATATTTTACTTTGAAAAGACGTTAATGGTTATCTAACAATCAAGCTCTATGATAAACGTGATGACTTTAACTTTTCTATCGTCAACTTCCCTTACTTGTGCAGCATTATACCTTCATCACCTGCATACGGAGTTTATATCTCTCAGTTGATTCGATATGCAAGAACATGCTCTACGTATGAAGAATTTCTTAAACGAGGTAAATTATTGACAAATAAGTTGATGAAATAAGAATATCAACAGTCTCGTTTAAAGTCATCATGACCGTGTCAGCAAATACAAATTAAGTTCTATGGTGCCCATTGTTAGTCCATTATTTATACACTGAATTGACCGGATGTTATTTCCCAATCATGACAAACACAATACATTTTATCATTGATATGCAAATGCGTGTGAAGAATTTCTGAGGTAAATTATTGACAAATAAGTTGATGAAACAAGAATATATTGTTTTGTCCTATTATTTCAACAAATACATTTTATCATTAAGTCAAATGCTGACTGACGATTTCAGACTTATTGACGACGGATTTTCCCGTCATTTCCCCATCATGACAAGGAGCACACGGCAGGTGTGACCGGTCGGCAGGGAATGTTCACTCCTCCATAGCACCTGATCCCATCTCTGATGTTTTGGAGGTCCGTATTTTCTGTGCTCCTATTTTGTATTGTTTTATGGACTTTGATAGTAAATATTATTCGTTATTTCCATAACCTTCATTCTTCTTCACTTTAAAGGTTTTGAACATATTCAAATCAATATAAAAATAGGCGGCTACAAAGAGGAACACAATAAGCGTTATACAAAATTCCAACGAAATTTCGTGTTTCTTTGAAGGCCTTTTTTCTAAGGACTTTATAAATGTTTTCACTCTAGTGGATGAGGAACATTCCTTTAATTTCAGTTCATAGAGCCTGTATGTAGATTTAGAGTAATTTGTAATGAAGTAATTTTGTCGATAAATAACCACAGTGCATGTTTATTTTTAATGAAGAATCGGTCTTTTATGACTAAATATTCGACACCTTTGAATGACGAGAGTAATAAACTAATAATACAATACATTCACCTTTTGATGCTCCTCCGCTCCCCTTATATCCACAACTGTTTTTGTGAGATACTTACTTGGCTGTACCTGGGTGTCGTCAGAAGTGTCGAACTTGACGACCTGTACGGTGAGGAAGCTGGTGGAGTTGTCTGTTCCATCAGTACACTCAAACCAAATCTCAAAGTTAGTGATGTCCGACAGAGAAATGTTCTGATTGGCTCTGACGTTCAACTCCTTCGCTAGAGAAGAATTAACAAACAAAATGATTAACGCTAAGTATTCAAAAAAGAGCTTGATAGCAACCCATTCAGATATAGAAGCAATCCATTCAGATATGGAAGCAATCCTAGATTACCTTCTTATTCACTTTTTAATATAAATAAAAAAAATATATATATTCTAAATTAATTCAATGGAAAATACTCTTTTATTCATATATTCCCAATATATTTTAGTGAAATTGTAAAACTCTAACATCGTGTGTTTAACATAAATATATCTCAGGGATACTCACTTGCTGGATTGAAGGAGAATGTTGACATTTTGTCGGAGGGGAGGACGGATTGCATCACACACGTCACGCTGTCGGGGGAGGGGTCAGTGACGGTCAGGGTAAACAGCGTGTGTTCTTCCTGGATCCCCTCTATCAGCTCCACGTGGTTAGGTAAGTTAGAAAACTCAGGAGGCTGACAACGACATTTATTAAATTAAAATAAGTATTCATTTTAAATGGTTTTCAGCGAATTCAAAGTTGCATTATGATCTTTGAATGTTTGTTGTATTTTCATTCTAATAAAAACATTCATTGCAATACAGTAATTAATATAACTTACACCATTAAAGGTTGTTATGGTAACTGTTCCTGTGACGGCATTGTCGCATGAGTCTTTGGCTTTGATGACGTAAGTATGAACAGTCTCCGCCGTACCGACAGCATGAGGCAAAGTACTTTTTACTTTGATTGTCACTAAATATTAACAAATTTTTTCGATCTTTTAATTTTACTTGTTTAAATAACGTTTGAAAAAATAACAATACAAAGTATAAATGGCCGTCATCTTATTCCATGTTCTTGCGTATTCAGAACATAGTTGGAAATGTCAGCAAAAAGTAAAGGTAGGATTCTAAAGCTAAGCTTGTATAAGTACTCATTTTCTGGTTAAACATATTCTATATTTAAGGAAGAAAGAAATAAATGCATGTTTGTAAATGGAAAATATATAGTTTCTTTTTATTTATCAATTAGTAAGAATATACAACGTATATGTACATCTGTAACTTAACACTTTGTGCATTAGATTTGCCGAGATTTTAAAATTGTTCTTAGAGATTGCTTACGATCAGACGTATCATAGCGGAAGTAGGTGTGAGTGTTGGGATAGCCAGTGTAGATATAGAAGTCAGCAAAATCCACATCGGTAAAGGTGAATGGCATGACGCTGGTACCAATAGCTGTGTGATCAGCGATAGCCACTTTAACAAGGCTCATGTTAAATATAGGATCCGTATCTGTGAAATATTGAAATACAAGTTATAAGTAACATTTTTTTTAAATTTGACAAACAATAAAATGATAAAATACGCTTACTGTCAACTGTTGCGTATGTTATGGCTGTGTATCTGTATGTAGCCTGAGTATATGAACTCCATGTCTGTGTGCTCCCGACAGCGACTTCCGTAAATGACTTTGACCAATAAGAATCCTGGTTACAAGACTTCCAGGAAGGTTCTCCCGTGGTGCATTTGTTGTTAGTGAGAGAGGAACTGCATGTTGTGTATGGAATCATATTGCTTGTGTTACAATACCTATTTGTAATAGCAAAATAGTTTAGTGCCCATAAACATGATAAAATATACCATAAAACACTTTTAATTAAACAATATAAACTTTATTTAAACGAGGTGGTCTGCTCGCGAACATTCTTTTTAGTAAAGATTATATACAACACTATACTGAATATGTGATTTTTCCTTTCTTAATTAAGAGATACTTGTTCATGTAAAGGCACATAAACATGAGCATCCTTCAGTATGAGGTAGATTTTCTTGTTTTTACATAAATAGTCTGTGCGATTATATGTTTGACATTTCTAACTTTACTTTCATTTCCAAACCTCATTTCTTTTACGCAATAAAAGATAAGAATCAAAATCAGTGTTATTTGTGTATGTTTGAAAACATTTACCATCCAATGCGATAACCATCGATAACTGCTATTCTGTTAGCTGTTGGTACCGCATGTCTATACACAGTGTTCACTGCAGAGGCTAAATCACAAAAGTACTTAATTAGTAGTAGTCTGATTTGAAAACATTTTTTAGCATAAAACTTGTTATTATTAATATTAAGTGGAAAGAAGCTAAAACCATAAACAAAAATTAAGTTCCAACAAAAGAGGTGTATACTCTATTTGGAAACAAACACCAGTTTGCTCGTGTACAGTTTCACATCCCGTTTTAATGTGACAAGCAGCTTGACGTATAAAAGTTTCATTTCATCAATTTTATCAAAATTATTGAAGCAGTACCTGGAACATCAACTTGGTTTGAGCCAATGAGTTTATATGAGGTCGAACTTAATCTTTCCCAAATCTGGAAAAATATAGTGCCCTCTGCCTTTGGATAAAATTCCCAATGTGAAATCAACCCACAACACTTGATCGAATTGTCCGTGTTTGGCATCAGGAAATATTTGTCTGAAATAAAAAGAAAATTGTGTCCCATCTGAAGGAATACAGTCTATAGCCGTAAGCGTGTTGGCAACTATCTGTAATTATATCTTCTTTTGTTAATACTTGTAGTATGTTGGCTACTGTCTATAGTATGTTGGCTGATGTTTAAAGTATGTTGGCTACTGTCTATAGCATGTTGCCTGCTGTCTATAGTATATGTTGCCTTCTATCTATATTATATTGCCTTTTGTCTATAATATGTTGGCTACTGTCTATAGTATTTTGGTTTCTTTCTATAGTATTAATGTAAAAAGTTTGTAGCCAGTTTTCCTAATTTGTAGTCTACTGTCTATATCATGTAGTATACTGTATTATAGTATGTAACTACTGTTTATAGCATGTGAAATACTGTCCGCAGTATGATGGCTTCTCTGCCTTGAGTATGTTGCCTACTGATCATTGTGTGTAGGCTACTTTTCATATTATGTAGACTATTGATTATGGTATGTTGGCTAATTGTCTTGCATGTGTGTATAGTAGTAACATACAACCTTCTGATGATGAACTTCATGGTATAGTATAGTATAGTTGATAAGTGTATAATAGTATAGTATAGTATAGTATAGTATAGTATAGTATAGTATAGTATAGTATAGTATAGTATAGTACAGTATAGTATAGTATAGTTAAGTATGTCTTGTCTAATAACTTGTGAGTTAACGCAGTTGATGTGCAGATTCATAGTATCTTACTACATTTTATAATTTCAAGCCATCTCATGTAGGGACACCAGTATGTAGTCTGTAGGCTACACATGATTCAGGACAGTCTGTTGTAATACTGTAGCGTCAATATGACTCGAGTACTAATTGGTCCTTCTGATGACGAAAACCAGCCTTCTAGTATACTAGTGTGTAGCTCTTTCATAGACCGTCTGTTCTCTTGACACCAGTACGCCAGCTTCATATTGGTCATTATAATTATTGACCTGGTATATAGGTTACATGTACGTACTGGTTTGTCTTGTGTATAGATATAACAAGTAAATTAGTAGGAAGGCGACTTACCGGTCAGTGACGTATCAGACGAGGCGTGGGAATCCGCTGTACTTTTCATGAAGTGGTCACGTACCAGACAAACTAAAAAGTTATGTTAAAAAGTAATCAACATAATTAATTGTCGTAAATAAGAAAAAAAGCAAAATTTGCATGCTATAAATCTTATCCTAAATATTTTAGATCAATCAAGTAAAGGATGAATTAAATTCAAGAAAAACTATTACAATTTAAAATAACTGATTATACAAAATGTATTCGAATTCCAAATTTGTTATGATTCTTAAAATTTTGATTTTCAAATTAACCGTCATATTTGTCTATTTATTTGTACAATAGAGAACAACAGTATTAAAACATTCATTTTCAACGACATCATCTTCAAAGGGTTTGCGGAGCCAAAACATTCAAGACGGAGTAAGCCAAGAAGGAATATCAAATGTGTTTGTTTAATGACATTTAAAAGAATTTAACAATTACTAAAGTCCAGGCTTCTTGGAATCATTGACAGCTGCATTTTTTTGATGGGGTTCATAAATTTACTTACCTTATCAATGGTAATTTGGAGAATTATTTCGTTAAAAATATTCTGATTGTACAAACAAGACTCTAAAGTTAATATTTAAAAGATCCTTGAGTTTCTGATTGACAATATATCTACATGTATGTGGTTTGGGATACCAGATCTTCAAACAATCTACTGAAATTTCCATTGGTACCAATTACACCCCGTTATCAGCCTACATATTTTTGCATTCATATGAAGCAGGTTTTGTTCAAAACCTTATACACGAAAAGAAGAAAACATTGGCTTTCACCTCAACATATAAATACGGGTATGTCGACGACGTTTTGTCAATTAACAAAGATTTTTTCCCATTCTTAGGTCGAAATGATACATCCTGGTGAGCATGAAATAAAAATACCACAGAGTCTGAAACATCTGTTTTATATATGAATATTCAACTAGAAAACGACGTTAATGGTAATCTAACAACCAAGATTTATGATAAACGTGATAACTTTAACTTTTCAATCGTCAGCTTCGGAACCTAATAAGTATGCAGCAATATGTATGTACCTTTATCACCTGCATTCGTTGATTGAATCTCCCAGTTGATTCGATTTGCAAGAGCATGCTGTACGCATAAACAATTTCTAAAATGTTATTGACAAACAAGCTGATGAAACAAAAATATCAGCAGTATCATTTAAAGCCCTATGGTCGATACAATGACCTTGTCAGCAAATAAATTCTATCATTAAGTCAAACGCTGACTTAATTTTTTTCACACTTAATGTAAACGATAATAATGAAACAAAGGTATCTTTTGAAGTCATTATGTAGCAAGTTCTATGGCAGAATATCAGCAAATACTATCTTAATTAGGTCAAATGATGACTGACGTTTTTCATTTACATTACATTTTCCTATACAAGAGATTAATTGTTAGGCCATCATTTACACACTGAAAATTCCATGGATTTTTAGTTTACCGGATCATCACAAGGCTAGGAGTACATGGAGGGTGTAACCGGTCCAGATGGGATATTTACTCCTTGATGGTACCTGAGCCCGCCTCTGCTTTTGCTGATCATTCTTTGCTCTGCTTCCATTTTGTATTGTTTAAATGGTACACTATTTGTTACCTGCACATTTTATTCATAAAGGATATGATTTAAAGAAAGTTTCAGAGCTTTTTACTGAAATCTTGTAAGAGGTCTCCATGCTTACATTGGCAGTTTTGAGTGTTACACTCGATACATTCGTCCGCTGAATTTGGACAGTCGTTTCCTCCGTTAGCTGGTGTGGGGTTGTTACAGAGACGTGACCTATTTTTACTTCCGGAATCACAAGTGACAGTACATGAACTCCAAGATCCCCAGTTTCCCCATCCTCCATGGACTATAAAAGTACAGAAAGATAAAAAGTGAATCCGACTCTTAGAGCGAAATGATAAAAGTACAGAAAGATAAAATGAATCCGACTCTTAGAGCGAAATAATAAAAGTTCAGAAAGGATAAAATGAATCCGACTCTTAGAATGAAATAATAGACGAATTTACTTTTTATGACGCCACTTTAATAATGTCAAAAATTATTTTTATATATGTATCTAAAACACTAAAATTAACAAATACATTTGGTCAATTACAAATTACCAGTTCCTTATGGAAAAATTAAATTGCAAAGATAAAATACAAAAGGAAAAAGCAACAAAACTCACCTGAGTCAAATAAGGTTTCAAATAAATACATAGATAGAATTAAACCACTTAAAGTGAGCTAAAATTGCATGATTTTAGGACCCCACCCTATATACAAAAATTGAAAATTAACCCAAACTTACAAAGTGTTACCCTGGTGTTCTTCCCGAAATCTTTATGTGTGTATTTCTATGTAAAACTGTTACCCTTTTGCCTGTATCATGCATGGGGGTACAGAATTAAGAATAGAAAAGAAACCCTTTCTACTGGTCATAGGTACCGGTATGTTAATAAGGGCACTGTCTCGTAGAGACCGGGAGTTGAGGGTAGGATGGTTGTCTTTTGCTTCAAGGACTTATTTGTGCTTTGAAATAACCCGTTATTTTCGTTTTATGAAAGTATTTTACCTAGCTGTTACAGATAAGAGATGGTAAATAACGGAAAAATTTAGATCAGAAAAGTCCACTTAAAGCTTTGGCCAATTTGGGCCTTCTATTTGAAGTCATTAATTTAAAGACACTCTAAAAAGAACGTCGAATAAATCTTTGTGATGTTTACGTTGTGTATGTCTTATAGTAACCTGGACAACCCAAGGAATAACAAGTAGCATCTTCATAACTACTTCCGGGACAGTCATCTCCGCCGTACTGTTTTGAGGGGTTTGTACACGTTCTAGTTCGTCTCACGCTTGTACTGTGTGGCCAACAGTTGGATGGACACGATGCCCAGTTAGACCAGGTAGTCCACGCACCATCAACTAAAGGAAAAGCAAGAAAGCAATAACTAGTTTTAAATATAACTTGTATTAGTTTTTTTAAAAATTACCCCAAAGATGGAGAAAGAAAATAGTTGAAAGTTTTAATAAGTATTAAAAACCCTACAAAAAGATCTTTACCTGTATTATTGTAAAAAAGAAAAATAATTAAATCATCAAAAAGGAATCATAAAAAGATTTTACCTGACTGCATCTTGTATGTGGATGCACATATAAACAAAGTTTAATTACATGTACATTGTACACTTTTCTTACTCGGGCAGTTTCGCTGTGTACAGGTTGCGGTATCTGAGCTTGCGCCCGAGCAGTCCAGGCCCGTTATTGTGGGAGTCGGATTGGTGCAGGTCCTGGTTCTTGTCAGAATAGTGCCAGCAGTGGCGCCATAACAATTGGATGGACACGCTGACCACGAGCCCCAGTTAGACCAACCGCCATTTACTTGATAAACATAAAGAAAATACAACAGAGTTACAGGAATGCTCTTTTACGGGCAGGGAATACATGTAGTTACTAGTATAGCTTGGATGTCTGACTTTCTCGTGGATGTCTTTCTGATCCTGTCCATTAATTATTCTGAGCGTTGTCTAGATTTTTTTAACTGTTACTTACCATTCTTTTTCATATAGCAAATAAGCAATATCGTCGGTTTATTCTACCTTAAGGTACACAGTTAATGATCTCCATTAGGCACAAGTTTACAAGTCTGGTTTGTACAGGACACGAGTTAGAATCTGTTTCAGTTGTAAGACTTTTTAATTAAAGGAAAAGGACTGCAAAATGATTACGTTTTGTATTTCATTTTAATTATAAAGGAGATGCTGGTAAGTGATTTGGTCGGATTCATCTCCGTGATTTTCCCTATCAGCACTAGAAGATAAATGAAAACTTGAGTTATATAATTTAATAATGTTAAGTTACACTCAAACTACTTTGAATTGCTATGTGTAGGGCGTCATTACATTCTTGGAAAATTGGCTTTAGGATGGTTTCATAAGGGATATTTGAAGGACCAGCATCCTCATAGTCAATTTAAACTACTAAGAAGTCAAATGGTAAGTTTGCAGCTTCCAATAATATATTTTGGATTAAGTATATTAACAGCACAACAAGACCTCAATGGACATATAAATTATTGAAAAGTTGTGAACAAAAGAGGCCCCATTTCTGAAACTGGGCATTCATCAGGTTGGGACTATTCGTCCGTAATGGGATATATTAGTCCGTCTGGGATATAATATCCCAAATTGGATATAAATTTACAGTACAAAAACGATTTTTTTTTATTTTTGGCTATAAACAACAAAAAATTCGTATCAAGATATTTATAAAGGAAGACATTTTGGTTTAAAAGTTTTTCTGTATGCCCACTGTTTAAGGTATTGATCCCTCAAAATTTCCTTCGTTTCTTTGGGATCAATCTAACAAATGGTAGGGTTGCAGGAAAAATTGCTTGTCAAAAGTTATTCTGTTTGAAGCATTTTGATGCGGCTTTACTATGTTTCTAGGCAAAATAAAATTTTTCTTTGTTTGCACTGTAAATTTATATCCAAATGGAAAATCATATCCCAGACGGGCTATTATATCCCATTTTGGCGAGCAGTCCCAACCTGTTCATTTCATTACGTCAAATAAAGCCGGAGATTTGCTCAAATATCAAGAAAAACAAAAAAGACCTTACCCTGGCAAACGGGAAGTGTGGTAATACAGTTGGTATAATCTGTTTGACTGCGTGCTCCTGTTGGTGTGTTTGCGCCAGAACAATCACCGCCATTGTCATATCCAGAGCAAGAACGAGTCCTTGACCTCTGACCTTCGTTCTCATTACAAGTGACTGAACATCCGCCCCAGCCACCCCAACCACCCCAGGTTCCCGCCACTGTAAAAGTATAAAATGAAATAAAATGACACTGATCAAAGAAACTTTGTTGCCTTAAAAATAGGGGGAAAATAAGAAAAAAAATCAAGAATCAACGAAATAATTTGTCTGGTACTTATTACAGTTCATGCAATAGATCTGCATGCATTCAACTGTCAAATATTACCATGCAGACTAAACATTCACCTCTATTTCTATGCCCATCTCATTCCCTCTCACTTTACCTCTCTTGAACTTTAAAAGAACATTTATTTAAATTAGATGCACCGTACATATACCTGTTTACTAAATAAAAATAATCATACATTGTGTTCTTTTAACTGAACAAGAAAAAATCTTGCATATATCTCTTATTCTATCAATCTTTAGATTATATTATTTTACTAATTAATAGCAGAGATGAATAAATTCTCTTAGGAGAATACAAATGAATAAAGCACTTGCAAACACCCGAACACTGAAACAAGTGGTCATGAATTTCAAATATCTGGTTTAATTACCCCCAAGGATTGTTTATCATAACGGTATACTTTCTATATGGCAAGAGGCAGTGAAGATTGTCAAAGAAGTAATGCGTATTCACTGTTACTTGAACTCTGACAAGCCCTTTCACAAGAGCCCTGATTGTCAGGTAATACATACTAATTGAAGATTTTCAAAAAATTAAATCACTTACAATATACAATCAATAGAACCCCAAACTAATATGCAATATCCAATTAAGTGCATCTGATCCAGGGCCCATAAATTTCCAATTTCGGAAGAGGCACTTATGCGAATCGAACCATTATATTTAGATGAAGAAGGCATTTTAAGAATTTATGCATTTTCACAGTCATTTATTTTTCATTATAGGCTCAAAAGAGGGCCACCCTAACACCAGATCTTCTGACGATAAATTAACGAGCAAAGAAATTAAAGCTTTACATACACTGCCTATGTGCACTTATTTTGTCTGCTTAACAAAAAGGAGAAGAAATGACCTTTTGAAATTGCCACTTCACTATATGTTTTCAAAACAATGCATTTTTACTATATGTACAAATTCAGTAAAAACCCATCCTTAAGCATCAAACTTCTGACTCAGCGGCAATGACATTCATCCCTTTTGGAGGAGACATTTATGCTCATCATTTGCTTTACTTGTTTAATATCCTCGAGCAGATAAAATTTTCAAAGATATGATTTACTTGCATTATTTAATCTATATAACAGGGCCCTAGCACCATAACATAGTTTTTTAATATATTGAAATGCACCATAACATCGGACTCTGGGGACCATGTACTTCACATTTATAGTAGAGGGTTATTGCTAACTACAATTAGTCAACAGTTTGTTTGCCTGTAAATTTTCTGAGAGCAGAGAGGAAGATTTTTAAAGACTACATTTTGATATTATTCATAGGATCCAAAGAGCAATCAAGGACCGTAAAATAACAATTTTTAACAGTGTATATCCTTTACCAATCGATGTTAAATCCCAAAATTGGTTGAAATTGGTTATAATAAGTGCTAGCTTGTGTTGAAAAAAGTTTCTTTTAATATATTGAAATGTTCTTGAAAAGTTCCTAAATTTAGGGAACCCCGATCCTTCAACTGGCATCGGAATTTCATAAATATTTTGGATTCTGTTGAAAAATTACGCCAGACGATGAGCCAGATATTAAAAAAAGAAGACGTTGACACCTTGTCAGAATGGATTAAATGTATCAGATCCATGTCAAAGTCGCGTATTAAAAGATTGAGGGGCAATATGAAAACCATCTATCCTTCTGTGTTCAGTTATCCAGAAGTGAAAATAAGAATTAGATAGATTACATGATCAGTACGCACTGGTCCCTGTCGACAAAGCGGTTAACAACATTGTCTTCGTTTGTAAGGCTCATTATATAAATTGTATTTTAAAAGAACTTGGATTTAATTCTACAAGTGGCAATCCTACTTACACTCATACTTCCCTTTCTAAGGAAGAAATTCTTCAAAATCATATGTCTGTTTTGAATATTTTTAATATTCCACAGAGCCAAAATGAATCTGAACTACCCCTATATATACTGGATTCCGAAACTTCATAAAAATGCTTACAAACAAAGATACATTGCAGATTACAGTAAATGTTCAACCAAACCTCTTTCTTTACTTCTCACTAAGATACTGACAGTTGTGAAGGAAAAACTTCAAGAAAACTGTGCAACAATATATTCAAGAAGTGGTGTGAATCAGATGTCGACACTCAAATATTCCAAAGAACTTTTGGACAATTTGAAATCACAAGATTTTACCAAAATCAACAGCTTAAAAACTTACGACTTTTCAACTTTACACAAAACCATTCCCCACGATAAATTAAAGTCTAGGCTTTTTGATATCATTGACAGCTGTTTTTTTCAATAAAAATGGAACTCGTAAATTTTCTTACCTGGTCATTGGTCATTTGCAAAATTATTTTGTTAAATCAAATTCTGGCCCCAGGATCATGAAACATACTTAGACTTAAGTCTAATTTTCAAATGCCTGTAAAATGTTTATTTATTATAGAATTGATCTAAAAATTTGCAAATAACAATATGTTTATGAATCAAAATAGAAACACGTTTCAATTTTAATCTGTTTGCCCTCTTCAAAATTTAAGTACAGCATAAAGATTCTGACTTAAGCTTAAGATGTTTCATGATCCCGGGGCCTGATTGCACACACAAGTACTCTGAAGTTAACATCAAAGAGATGCTTGAGTTTATGATTGACAATATCTATGTTGATTTTGGAGACCAGGTATTCCAACAATCTGTTGGAATTCCCATGGGTACCAATTGCGCTCTGTTATTAGCAGACCTATTTTTATATTCATATGAATCAGAATTTGTGCAAAATCTTATGCGTGAAAAGAAGAAAACACTTGCTGTGGCCTTCAACTCGACATTTAGATATATCGACGACGTATTGTCAATTAACAATGGTAATTTCCATACCTACGTCGATACGATATATCTTGGTGAGCTTGAGATAAATGATACCACAGAGTCTGACACATCTGTTTCATACTTGGATATTTTACTTGAAAAATATTTTATTGGTAATCTAACAACCAAGCCATATGATAAACGTGATGACTTTAACTTTCTATCGTCAACATCCCTTACTTATGTAGCAATATACCTTCATCACCTGCAAACGGAGTATATATATCTCAGTTGATTCGATACGCAAGAGCATGCTCTATGTAGGAACAATTTCTAAAACGGAGTAAATTAATGACAAGCAAGTTGATGAAAGAAGAATATCAACAGCCTCGTTTAAAGTCATTATTTCTTAAGTTCTATGGTCGAAACAATGACATTGTCAGCAAATACAATTTATCATTGAGTCAAATGCTGACTGACTATTTTCATGCTTATTGTTAGTCCACTATTTATACACTGAATTGAAGACGGATTTTCCCGTTATTTCCCGATCATGACAAGGAGCACACGGCGGGTGTGACCGGTCAGCAGGGGGTGCTCACTCCTCCATGGCACCTTATCCCACCTCTGATATTTCGGAGGTCCGTGTGTGCTCTGTTCCTATTTTGTATTTTTTTTATGGACTTTGAGATTGAATATTGTTCGTTATCTCCATATCTTTCTCATGCTATTTATAAGATACTTTGGAATTTTGAATATTAGGGAAACTATTTTACATTAAATGTACAATAAATAAAATGGCTGAATGAAGATACCTGAGAAGGATATTGCCCTTGTCAACATTTTTCAAAGATTGAAGAATTTATTGAAATAAACGTACTTTTAAAATTCTTTTTGGTAACAATATTTATCATTACACCTATTGAAAAACATTCTTCCAAAAGATATTGTTCTATTGGGTATGAATTTAAATTACTGACAGTTTTTTGCAAAAAAATGACATCATAGAAGGGTGGAATTACCTTAAAACCGCTCTCAATCGTTACGTACCGTAGCATCCGACGGAGCCACAATTAGAGGACTGCGAGTCTGACGTGGACCCTCCACAGTTGTCTGGGTCGTTAACAGGGGAGGGGTTGTTACACGATCGGGATCGGGATGCTGATGTTGATGTAGATGAACATTGAATTCCATCACAGCTCCAGGTTCCCCACGACCCCCATCCACCATTGACTGAAAAGAATAAAAAGGACGAATGTAATGGAAAGTGATCGATCTAAAAAATTCTCCAAAAAATTCAAAACTGCGAGGTCATAAACACAGACCCCAGGAAATTTTCAATGTTGGATAAGATGGGTGTATGAGTGTATCTAATATAACCATCTATCGATAAAAAATATCAAAAGTGTAAGAATATGTACAAATTATACTTTTACTGGTTCTACAAAAAAATACCCTTATATTGGGTTTAGCCGTGGATCTTTACTATGTTGATGAACTAAAACAGCACAGACTTCAAGTTCGTGCAATCCTGTTTGCAGTTTATTAATTCAATCCTTTCTTATCTTCTTATTCTATGCAGATAAAGATCTTAACACAGATTTATTTAGCCAGAAATTTGCATACTCCATAAAAGCAAAGGAAGCAATAAAAATCGCAAAAATGTAAATGCCCCTTCTTATTTCAAAAAAGGAATACTGGAACAAATGTACAAATTTGATGTTTTCTTATACTTTGAGAAAACATACTTTTCATCCGAAATACATTTTTATGCATGTAACTATTATGTTCATCTTTTATGTAAAAATGGCTCTCCTGATCCGTTGTTATCTTTAAATTAAGAAGTTTTGATGTGTGCATTTATTCTCCATAATTTTATTTTAGTTGTAAAGCGTCATTTGTTTGGATAAAAAATTAATCTAAATTGTATAACCTGGGTTGCATACCTCACAATAACTTACGTCAGAAACGTATCAATTCGCTTGACGTTACGTTTAAAATATGAAAAATTTGGAACCGTTTTAAGGGAGGTATTGTCTTGTTTTCTATACTTAATCATTGAAAATTAAATTATAAGGAATGAAATAAATGGCAACCCCAGTTATACTGTTATAACCTCTTCACGAAAAGTTCACGCTTTTCTATAAAATGCTCTTAGGTCAGACGATACGTTCCCCAAATATCTGTTTTGTAAATCTTCATAATATATGAAAACTATGCAAAATTTTCATTACTTAGTACTTTCTGATTTCTAAACCGGTTTCTAATTGTTTTTAAAAAAGTTTTTTCCCTAAAGGATTGTATAAGAAATGCTACCCTCTGGTATCTCGCACAAATGCCTGGTAAGGTACCTCAATTTTTTGTGAGTAAACATGTTAAAGTAGTAATTCTTTAATGACAAAATCTTGGAAAAAATTATATATTATTGAGGAACGTCTCGTCTGTCCTTAATTAGCGGTTTATAAAACGTAAACTGTCCCAATCCAGATTATACAGTATAACTTGAGTTAATTGTATATAAGCAAAAAATGAAAAATAACACTTTTTATTAAGTATGGCATGTCAAACGTTGCTATATTCGATAATCTTGTGATGTATATTCAAAATCTTGTGATGTATGTTCGAAATCTTGTGATGTATATTCAAAATCTTGTGATGTATATTCAAAATCTTGTGATGTATATTCGAAATCTTGTGATGTATATTCAAAATCTTGTGATGTATATTCAAAATCTTGTGATGTATGTTCAAAATCTTGTGATGTATATTCGAAAACTTGTGATGTATATTCTATAATCTTGTGATGTATGTTCAATATCTTGTGATGTATATTCGAAATCTTGTGATGTATATTCTACAATCTTGTGATGTATATTCAATATCTTGTGATGTATATTCAATATCTTGTGATGTATATTCAATATCTTGTGATGTATATTCAATATCTTGTGATGTATATTCGAAATCTTGTGATGTATATTCTATAATCTTGTGATATATGTTCAAAATCTTGTGATTTATATTCAATATCTTGTAATGTATATTCAAAATCTTGTGATGTATGTTCGATAATCTTGTGATGTATATTCGATAATCTTGTGATGTATATTCGAAATCTTGTGATGTATATTCGAAATCTTGTGATGTGTGTTCTACAATTTAGTGATGCGTGCAATTATATTGTATGACGCAACAGAAAAGTAAGGACAGTTTTCATTGGTTAGAAAAAACGAAAGTAGCTGAAGCGATTGTTGTCGGGAAAACTATGCAGGTGAGAAAAAACACATCAGTTTGTTTATTACAGCACTAATTACGAGATGCACGAGTGTTGACCCTGGTGGCATGATGGAGATATTTCGGCCTGCTAGGGAAAAAACTCAGTAAACGTAGATATATTGACAAAATTGGTAGGTACTTGTAACGATATGTCACGATGCTGCATTGTCAGATACAGTATTTATACATACATGCTAAAAAGTTAAATCTCGTAGTAATCAATATTATATAGCAGAAGAATAATGAAGAATATATACTACAAAAATTGTGCAATTTGTAGCAAGGTTAATTTTTGTTTAACAGCTGTTTTTATTATATTTTTAGACGAGCTGATCGCCAATCAGGAGATCAGAATGATCGCATCTGCTCCTGCCACTTTAAGGATGGTAAGAAGGAGGGGGACCCTGCATATTTTTCATGGAATGAAGGAAAGGCCATGGATTTCTCTGATCCTGAATGTAGAAAAAGGTGAAATTATTTTTCAAAATATGATCGACATCTTGTTTTTGGATGGTGGGTGGGTGGAGTTTAATTGAGAATATTTTACTAAAAATCTTTAAAAGGGTACATGTATAAACAGAGTAACAACTGAATAAAAAAATAATTCAAGTTTAATTATTTTACAAAGGAGGAAAAAACTCAAAAGTGAGGAGTCCCTGTCATCTTCACAGATGGACCAGTTGCAGATTCCACAAGCACCAAAATGTCAAGATCAAGAAAAAGTAAAGCTCATTTAAAACACCAATGATGACAAATGACCAACACTGAAACATTTTCAATAATTTTTGAATTTAATAATATAACAGTTCTTTTACATCAAATTACTCATGATTTACAATATATTTTCAGTTGATATCAGAGCACAACTACTCAGCATCCTGCACATTTAACTGTACTCAAGAAATGCAGCGCCTCTCAACAGAAATACAACAACTGGAAAAGGAATTGCTTGCCCTAAAAATAGAGTCTAGTAAAAGGAAGTCAATGTCAATTCACGATATTAAATACTACGAAGAGAAGGTACATTTAAAGGAATTCCAATTGTGATTTCCAATTTCCTAACAATTTCAGTAAAACTTGTTGCCATTGAGGGATGAACATCTAAGATTGACTGTTATGTTAACATATTTTGTTATTATCGTTGAGTTCATAATATGCAATTTAAAATAACAGAGAAAAAAATCATTTAATTTGCTCTTTGGGTGAATAATATCTAAAACCTTCTCTGTATAAACCATGTTTTACTTAAGAAATAAAGTCCGCGTTTTCGTGAATGTTGCAGAATAACCTCCGAGGTCGAGAAATGTTGTTTGAAAGATAAAAGCCGAGGCTTTTATATTTCAAACAATATTGCGAAACCAAAGAAATTATTCTGCATCATTCACAACAACAAGGACATTATTTCTATTCTACCAAGACCGATAAATACGGCTGATCGTTTCCTCTATAGAGAAACGAATTAGGTCACCATGTCTCGATTACACTGTTTTATTTAACACCAGAGGTACAATTTGTTTGCTTACCTGTGTTAGGAATGCAGACGATCTGAGCTTTCGTTACATTGAAAATAGCCTTTTTTAATTTACAAATTTGTTCGTTATATGTATTGATCAGTTAAAACGAATATACAATAACAAAATCATGTTCCTGTTTTACTGCTAAAATCACGTTGTTTAATGTGTAGGGAGGTCCGTGGAATAGCCCCGCTTAGCTATAAAAACCGACTTCATCAGCAACTTTATGAAATTTACAGTGTTTATTTCTTATAAAGACGACACATCGATGCGGTCTAAACAAGTATTTCATTCTACAGCCAAACATGCATTTGAATTTTTTAAGTTTGATACATGCTTCTGATCTGATAATTTTTTGATGACGTTCGTGATTTATTGGAGAATAATGTCCGGCGGCTTCCTTTCATGTTTTGAATAATCGTGGTAGAATCTATGACAATTATCAGAACACTAAATGTCTCATTTCAACAGTTTTTAAATAAATGCATAATATGGATAGTAGCAAACCTGACTGCTGTGACTAATATTGTTATTACTTAAAACTAATTTATTTACAATCTTTTCAGTTTTTGGAAATATTTTAATAAGTATTAAAACAAATTTATTTTCAGATGCTTTTGTATACATCCCTACAGTATGACAGACATATTCGAAATCTTAGTCAGATTGTTACAACGATTTGAACTTGATTATTAAAATGGCTGGACTCCTTCAATGAAAACAGAGAACCAACTGCTCATTGTACTAATGAAGTTAAAACTCAATCTAGGGGACACTGACTTGGCTCATAGATTCTGTGTCAGTCGACCAACAATTTCGAACATCTTTCATACCCTTGTTCATGCACTACACAAGATGCTGTCTGATGGCGTAGTCAATGAATGTTTCCAAGTCAGCTTAAATGCAAAGGTTTGTTTTAAAATTTATCATAATGACTTGCAAAAATTTAATGCAGTTAAATTTATTGTATTCTTGAAAGTTTGACTGTAACACAATTTTTTTTACACAATTACAAATAATCAAATTAATTTTTTTCCAACTTTTTTCAGGGTCTCTGCCAAAATCTTTTGAAGAATTTTCCTCTGCTAGAGCATCCTTGGATGCAATTGAAACAACCCAGGACATCCCAACACATATGGACAATCAGGCCATGGCCTACAGTATGTACAAAAGTCGCCATACTGTTAAAGCAGTAACTTGCGTGGCTCCAAATGGTGCACTTACATTTTGCTCATGCTGTACCCAGGTTCTACTTCTGATGTAGCTATTGTACGTCACAGCCAAGTTTTACAAAAGTTCAAAGCTAGAGACCTTATTTTGGCGGTCAAAGGTTTCACCATTCATGACCAGTTGCCCCAGGGTGTCTGCTTAAATATACCAGCTTTTTTATCGACATGAGGCCAGTTTACCAAACAAGAAGCAGCACTGTGTTACAAGATTGCTAAAGCACGTATTCATGTGGAAAGAGCCAACGAGAGGATAAAGAATTACGAGATTCTCCGTCACATACCATCTACTTACAGACCAATCTCAACAAAAATATTTAAACTCTGTTCTGTCTTGTAAATTTGCAAGCTCCACTTTTGAAAGAAATTATATAAAGATACATGTACTTATTATAAATTTGCATAGGCCTCTGACAGTATGTTACACTAAACAGTAAAGATATTCATACCAAAGTGCAAGGGATAAGCAAATCTTGATTTGTTATCAATGTCAATGGTTATATTTGTTAACTTTGTAGTATGTTGTAATACATGTACTTCAGAAAATGAAAATCCCTTTTGTTAGCATGGATTTATTACAAGAATGTTTGACAATTCCATTCCTCATTTGACATTATAATTTGGAACAGGGTTTACTTAAAATTTTAAATCTCTAGTTTCAAGTACATGTATATATAAAGCACAACTCAACAAATTCATGTTTTCAACAATTTATCTATTAAGAAAGACAAAAATTTTACATTTTCACTTTGAGAATAACATCTTCAATTCATTAATAAAATGATTCTAAATTTTGATATTCTTTTTTATGTAGTACATAGATTTTATTAATCATCATTGCTATTTAAAATAGTCTTGTAACCCAGAAATTTTATGATGGAACATTCAACACATTTAACATGATTACCCATTTTCCATTGTTAGAAAATTCTAAAGGTACAAAACTAAGTGTCAAGAAGTTCAAACCAGAACTCAGTTTTCCATCAGTGCTGGAATGAAAATGTTAATGTAGAAATCTATCAGCTTTGAAACATTTGCTGTCCATTCAATGTCTTTTACTATTCTAATCACAATGCAGTCTACTCTTGTCCACACAATTAAGTCGCAGGATGTTTTGTCACATATGTGTAGCTGGCCTTGAATTTGATGATAGTATGGGTGACTGGTTTTCAGGCACAGGGTATCTTGTTTAAGATCTAAAAAAATCAAAGAACACTTTTTTAAAAGTTGTGTTATACCAGTTCATATCCCCTCCTTTTTCAATATCTTCATACCATATTGAACAACTGCACTTGTAAATTAATACATATATTGAAATCATTTACTCACCAAGATTTTTAATTTCAAAGTACTGGACAATAAAGATTTTTAATGTTATTTACCTATGAAAAATCCTTCAAATTTTGTGCCCCATCTGTTACTGTTGAAGACGATGCTGTATATGGACACTTCACCTCTACAATATCAGGAATGGCGTCTTTGGCTTCTGGAGTTTGATAAAATACACTGCATGTTGGTGGTGGAACAACTAAGCCATCAGGTGAAGCTCCCAACACTCCGGATTCATGCAACCATATCCCTTTCAGAAAAAAATTATAATACTACTGAATGCAAACAAACCATAATACAAATGATTTTGTAATGCAAACAAAGTCTAAGTAGAGTTTTTATAATCCTTCCACTTCAAATAAATTTCAAGCAAATTTTCTGGAATATGTTGGTAATTGAATATTTTTTTTTACAATTAGACTTCAGTAATTGATTTCTGTTTGTCACCAGGATAAGTCCTGTTATTTGTTTTGACACATTGAATGTTAACATGTCAGAGGTTGAAGGAATATTATTTTGTGCTGTATACCTGACTGCTCTACAGCTGCATCAAAGTCCTTTTCATACTTTCTCAAAGCATCATCTTCATGAGTGATACCCCATGCAACAGCCTTGATGGACTCCAGATTGTAAGCCGACATCAGTCGTTTCTTCAGTGACAATGTCAATCTGGAGAAGAAAATATGATTTTTGGTTATTAATCTTATATTTCCTGCATCTTTATGTACAAATATCTAGTCATTACAGTCGAACCTTATTATCTCAAACTCAATGAGACCAAGAAAAATGTTGGATATATCCGTGGATTCAAGAATAATACATAAAGAGTTATCGAGAAAATGTCCCAGTCTTTTATAAATGGTTTGGACTTCAAAATTACTTTGACATATCCATGGAATTTGAGATAATAGGTTTGAGATAACAAAGTTTGACTGTAATTTAAAAAGTCTATTTCACAAAAATTTAATCACACGTCTTACCACCTTTGCTTAGAACCGAGAACTGCACCAAAGTTGGAAGCTGATATGCTTTATTTCCTTACAATCTACCACATTGGGTTGTTTCGTTGCCAATGCAGCTCTTTTAATGGATTCATCTGACAGGGATAATGCATGTCATAACCATACCATAGGGGTATCAGAATGAACATACTCTGGTGATGTTAACAGGTCTTCAATGAGAGGTACAGGTGGACCAGGTTCACATGGCTCTGGTTCAAGAATCCAATTCAATGCTGAAAAATTTCATTACTTGTGTCATTCTCAAAAATAACATCCATAATATCCATATCACATATACCAAGTATATATATAAGAGTCCATACATTTCATTTTAGTGAACACTGTAATGGGTTTTTGTAATGTATGCATTACATATCAAATTTACAACTCACTTGCATATATTTGTTCAGAATTGTTCCTGTATATAATTTTGCACATGGCATTCTTAGTGTGAAAATGCCATGGAAAAATTGGTGCAAATGTAAAATTAATATTTACTAAATTATTAACAAGGTTTCATAATGACAGAGTATTTAAATAATAGAAGAATGATCTGATAATTTGCAAGAATATGAAACAAAATATTTTTTTTAATGTAATTGAATAATTTTTTTTTCCTTTCAAAAATGTATGCTCATGTACAAAAATGCTATCATATTTATAATATTGTCTTTCTAATTATTCAAAGGTTGTTATTAATATTTATTACATAGTATGTTAAAAAATTGGGCAATATACATAGCCAACTATATTATGCTCCTCATCTTTGTACATTTGTTCACAATGAAAATTAACCATCGGTCAGTAATCTACACTACCTGAGGATGCTTCCATATAAATAGGATCAATTATGGCTTAGTCATTCTTGAGAAGAAGATTTTTAAAGAATTTTCCTATATATTTCTATGTTAAACTTTGGTCAGCCATTGTGGCCCCGCCCTACCCCCGGGGGTCATGATTTGAACAAATTTGAATCTACACTACCTGAGGATGTTTCTCCATAAGTTTCTTTTTTCCTGGCACAGTGGTTCTTGAGAACAAGATTTTTAAAACTTACCATCAAATTTTCATTAATTCCCAATTATCTCCCCTTGAATGAGGGCGTGGCCCTTTATTTGAACATACTTGAAACCCCTTCACCTAAGGATGCTTTGTGGCAAGTTTGGTTGAAATTGGTCCAGGGGTTCTTGAGAAGAAGTCGAAAATATGAAAAGTTTACAGACAGACAGACAGCTAGATAGACGGACGCCGGACAAAATGTGATCAGAGAAGAGCTAGAAATGAAACATTCCTCACCACAAAAGCCAGAAGAATATAGGGACCACCACCACCAGTAACATGTTTCTGGGAAGAACCAAATTTAAGCCATAAGAGAATCCATGCAGAGATAAATATCAATAGTCCTGAAGCTTCGATGCAGGACCAAGTAGGAGAATTGCTACAAACACTACTCCGGAGACTTACCTATTCAGGGGCGTAGCAACAGGGGGGAAGGATGGTTTGCCCCCTCACTTTGTACCACAGTATAGTGATATCAAGGAATTGTAGGAAAATGTATGAAAAAAATGGAAGTGAAAGTATTTTGACGTTGAAAAACTTGGCCACTACCCCCCCCCCCCCCCCCCCCACGAAATAGGATTTTCGAGTTTGGGCAATTTTCGTTTTTTTTTTTTTTTTTTTTTGCTTGTCAACTTTTTTCAGGTGAGTAAAAAAAAAATTTCTGGCCCCCCCACTTTCAAAATCGATGCTACGCGCCTGCTATTATCCTATGATGTAACGTACTTTGTCCACTGCAGCTGGTTCCCTCATAAGCTGGTAGTTCAGGATGTCCTGTCAACTTTATTCCTCAACTTCCTGTCTTGGACTGAAAATCAATAAGTGGAAATCTTTAGTGTTGCCTAGTGACTTTGAATTAAAAAGAAAGTTGTAAGATTGTGAAAGGGGGGGGGTATTGATGCAGTGCATTTTAATTAAATGTACGAAATTAGTATTTCACAGTTTAATGCATTCATGTATTTTGTGAATTGTCTTACATGTAATAATTGTTGCTATGTATTATTATGCACTAAATCTATTCAACTGCATGTGTAAATGGGGAAAATGTGGATATGTAAATGATGTATAATTGCAATGTGTAAAATGTGACATTTTTTTATATGAGGGAGTCTGTTCATATAATTTTTTTTAAATTATTTTATTTATCTTGATAAAATTATTTCAATTAACAATATTGTTTTTCTTATCTGTCTGATGAACTCAACAAAGGTTACAGTGGTGAATGGTAGAAATACGAGTATTACGGGTGTCAAAACTCTCCCTTGATGACCAGACTGCATGCCGCACTGTAAAATCACCATTTTGGATCTTTAA